GATTTAATTTCTTGTGGGTGTTGTTTGCCTAACGTGTGTTACTCTCATACATAAGGCAGGGTGACACAAGGCTAAACCAGAAGTGGATAAATCGCAATGTTGGAAATTCAAAGCTTAGTCATAAGATCATAAGACTGTATAATAACTCATAATCTGAAGGAGACCACACTGAGATTCCAGGGACATTCTTAGGTCAAATATTTCCTGCCCCTTGGATGTTTGATTTCCTAAATTCAAATTTCTTTGACTTCTTTTATTGTTTGCAATCCTGACAGGGTTTTTTAAGGGAATGCAATGTTCCATGTCCCATCTTGAGACATCTACTGCTTCTTCCCTTTTTCACACTTTGCTCTGACCTCTTTGCTATCAGATCCCAGCTCTGTTCCAGTTCATTGTCAAGGTAATTTCCCTTTCACATGCACATAGTTGTCCCCTGGTCCAGCCAGTCTCTGTCTCCTCCTCCCTCAAATGTTTTCTTTTGGTCACTGTGACCTCTCTGCTCATCCCCACACTCTGGCACCGGGAAGTTGCTGACAGAGGCACTGATTTCTTCTCTCACCTCAGCCTTTTCCCCTGTTTCTTGACTCCCAGTCTCCAATCAGATATTTCTCTGTTCTTCATTAACTCCACCCATTTCCCCAGTATGATTTTGGTCCTGTCACCTTGGTGCAGCTTTTGTCACTTGTCCCTGTCCTGTTGCTGGGAGAGCACCAAGAGCTGACTGGGACAATGAACAAGCAATTTCTCTGACACCCTCCACCCCTGGCCCATGGGCAGTGAAGTGGGTCCTGTTGCTGTGTGACCAGGTCTCCTGTGAAACTCTGTCACAGACAACTGCAGAGGTGGAAGCATCTCTGTGAGGATTTGACTGCTGGAAGCTGCAGAGCATCTGACCTGTGAGCAAAGTGCTTTTTTCCATCCAAGAATCAACATTTTTACTTGATGTGGTACGATTTGACAGGGATGACAAACAGCTCTCTTCCCAGGAACATGACTCCTGGCAGGTTAGAAATCCATGTGGCTATGGATCTCTGAAAATGCTTATGTCTTTATTTTTAGTGATCTGTGTCTTTTCTTCAATTTTCTGTTTTAGAAATTGATCAACTGGGTTTGGTCGTGCTTTTGTTGTTAAAGGTGAAGGTTCTCTGATATGAGAACTGTCTGTATTTACAGTTAGAGATTTTAATATTGAAATGACTTGTCAAAATGTTTTGATATTACAAATGTAAGTCCAGGCTGTATTATTCCTTAGGATGAGTTTCAGTGAGTCATAAATATCACATTATTACACTAGTGCTAGGAGCCCTGTATGATGAACTAAGACCAGGCTGGGCATTAAGCAAGGCCTGAACAGATAATGCAAATATAATCCTTGTCCTAGAGAAATTAATAGTAAAATATAAATTCAATATAGACAGATGAGAACAAGTTAAATTATACTTGCAAGCTCTTAAGGTTCAGGAATTAGTTTTGCAGCAGAGAAGTTTTTTAACGATTAATGCTTGACAGTGTTTATCAGGAGTGTGAGAAGTAACATGAGAAAAGGTAAAAATGATGCTTATTCAAAAGAACAACCCATGGGCAGTGGAGTTTGGCAGTATTGGTCTACTGGCTACCAGAGCTGACATTTCAGTACTGATTGAGAGGTGATCAGTGAAGAACCCTAAAAGGGCAAACAAGGAAACTGTATTTATTGACCACAAGAGAAGGAATCATTGGAGAGGTACACACTCCCCTGTGCTGGGGCAGAACCAAATATGTTGATATTTTCCCCAACAATGCTTTCTAAAGAGGGCTCCGAGGGTCCCATTGCTGCCATGCTGGATTCTCTCCAAGGCAGCCAGTCACTGGCTTCACCAGGAGCTTTTTATTAATTCTTATCCTGATATTTCCTTGCTGCAATTCAAGTACATTCTCTATTTTCACCTTCAAGGCAGAAAAAGCATGGCACTCCTGGGTCAGCTTTGTCAAGATCTAACCCCAGCCAGCTGCCAAGCCCCAGGCAGACACTTGCTTATTCCCCCACCTGAGGGATCTATGAAAGAATCAAAAGGGTCAAAGCTGGAAAACAGATGTGTTGAGATACAGACAATTTAATAGGGAGAGCAAAAGCCACACACATTAACACAGCAAAATAAGGAAGAAATTCACTGCTTCCCATGCACAGGCAGGTGTTCAGTCACCTCCAGGAGAGCAGGGCCCCATCACATATAACAGATACTTGGAAAGACAAATGCCATCACTAGAAATGTACCCTCCATCTTCCTCCTTCCTTCTTTTTCTTCTTTTTTCCTCCCATCTTATATACTGAGTATGATGTCATATGGTCTGGAATATCCCTTTGGGCAGTTTGGGTCACCTATCCTGACTATGTCTCCTTCCAATTTCCAGTCTTCTCTCCAGTGTGGCAGCATGGAAAACAGAAAAGGCCTTGGTTCTGTTTAAACCCTGCTCAGCAATAGCAAAAAATATCTCTATGTCATTAACCCCATATTCAGGAAATCCAAAACACAGCTCCATACCAGCCACTGTGAAGAGAATTAATTCTACCCCCAGCCCAAACCAGCACATTCCATCACTTATTCCATACCATTTTCATCATGCCCAGGTCCCACGTTATTCAATACAACTTAATTAACTACCACCCTTCTTCCCATCCTTTGACATAATACAAAGAAGTAATTTCTTTAGTCAATGGACCATGCCTAGCAAATAATCATAAAATATCCACAAATGTTTACAAAACATCATTTGAGTTCATTTAGTCCATGACTTTAGGCTCCATCTGTTCTGGTGGTCTCTCAGTACAGGAATGGTGCTGTCTTTCTTGGGGCTGCTGGGCACCAAAGCCAGCTCTCAGGTCACTGATGCTCTTAAACTTCTTTTTGTAATGCCTCTCCTCCTTTGATATGGGTGGTTTCTGCTGTACTAATTCCTGTAACATGCAACTCAAATCACAGCTTACAACAATTTAAAGGCACATCCATTACAATCTCTATCCTTGGCCCTTTTTGGACCAGGTTATCTGGTTTAATATTGCAATGAACTCCTCCTCCTGTCTCCAGCCTGGCTGCAATAAGAGTTGACTCCCTGAAATCCACTATTAATATAGTTACATCAACATCCTCCTCCATGGGCTGCAGGGGTACACTGCTTCACCATGGTCTTCACCATGGGCTGGGAGGGATTCCCTGCTTTCCCTGATCCAGCAGGGGTTCCCACCCACAGGAAACAGTCCTCCTTGAACTTCTCCAGCCTGGGTCCTTCTCAAGGCTGCAGTTTTTTGCAAACTGCTCCATTGTGGGTCCCCCACGAGGTCATAGGTCCTGCCATAAAACCAACTTCAGCAGAGGCTTCTCACAGGGTCACACCACATTCTCCTTCAGGCATCCACCTGCTCCAGCATGACGTCATCCAAGGGCTGCAGGTGAATCTCTGCTCCATCATGGGCTCACCCACATCCCTTCAACTCGAGATCACTCTGAGAACCACGTTCCAGCCTGTCCAGTACAGCAGCACAGAAACAGCAGCAATACCCTGGCCAGCTGCCAGCCCAGGAGCACCATGGCTGTCACCAGAACCTTCCAGGGCACAGGTCAGTGAGGTGAGTGTGGCACAGCATCACAGCAAAAAGTGGCCACCAATGAGCACAAGACCCTAACACAGTCAGAAATGCGTACATTTACAGACATCCATAATGGAGGGTAAAGCCATTGATTTGCAAGACCCTGTTAAGAGGTTTAAAGCAGTATTTCAACTACAGATGTTTTTCCTGTCAGTTGAGAATGTGTAAAAGAAACAGTGCTTTTTATGAAAGCCCTTGTCACTTGCTCACAGATGGAAACAGGAGGTTTTCCATTAAATTCAGATCTCATACTGATTTTCAATATATTATCTCATAGCCTAAATATGCCACACTCTCAAGAAGTGTTTTTCCCTTCATTTGTATACATTGCATAACATGGAAAGAATTAGTCAGATATGACTAGATATTTTTCCCTTTAAAGGTCCTCATCTGTAGTGGGAAAATGGAATTTCCTTTCCTTTCCTTTCCTTTCCTTTCCTTTCCTTTCCTTTCCTTTCCTTTCCTTTCCTTTCCTTTCCTTTCCTTTCCTTTCCTTTCCTTTCCTTTCCTTTTCCCCTTCCCCTTCCCCTTCCCCTTCCCTCAGAAAATATCTCTGCATGGAAGTTTTTTTGAATTAAAGATTCAACTGGAGCTGTGTTAAATAGATACAAGTGTTCAACAGTTTAAAACAGACAGGAATTAGGAATTTGATTTCAGATGAGTCAGAGAACTTCACATATTATTGTTACTACTGGTGTTTAAACCTGTTTATTTTAAAATCATCTGTCACAGAAGGACTGGAAGTAGTAAATTTATGAGAGATTCTTCCTCCCTGATCCCTTAATCCACCCTTAATTCTTAAACCACCATTGCAGGAAGATAGACTTTTAAGTCTTCAAAAGTCTTCCATGATTCAGATACAAAAAGTTTTAAATAACCATTAAAAAATTAACACTAATCTTATTGCAATGAAGTCGAATAGACATATTTCTATAATAAAATAAGAGATTAATTACATATTCAGAATGGAAACACTAAAAAGAACAGCAGGGAATGCAGTGCCATTACAGTGAGTACAGGACTAAACAGGCTTTACAATGAGTAGTTAAATGAATTGTTACACAAACGATGTGTCTGGATGCTCTCTTCTGCACCAATATCTTTCTGGCTGAACAGGCTGCACTGTCTTCTTCCATGTCTGTACATACAAATCATTTAAGAGTTGCAGAAACAGATACCTGTTGTCTTACATCTACTTTGCCATTGTGGCTGTGATGGAAAAGAAGTTTTCTTCTGCTATGAGAGTTTGTGTTCTGGTAGCAACAAGGATTTTTAATCACAGAACTATATGTTTGCTCTTACCCAAAGGAATAAGGGGAAAAGAGACAAAATATAAAAATAAATATAAGAAAGAAAAAAAACCCCTATGAAGTAAAATGTTACCTGTTTTATTAATTTTGATTCATCAAAATATAAATATGAATCTAAGTATTTACCTCTAAATAATACAGTATCAATGGCCATCATTGATATATTCACATATACAAAATAAAAAGGATCTTTACAGTACTTAATGAGCAATTTCGTAATACTTTACTGGATCAGCAAAAGTCAGGTTTTGAGGAGTCTACTGTGTTACCTTGCTTTTTTTACAATTTATATACACTTCTTTGTGTTCCATCATCTTGTACAATAGTTATGCACTGAATATAATTAAAGTGCACAAAAAAGATAGTTTTCTATATCTTACTGTGAAAATGCAAACCAGTTAAAATATTGTTCAAAATAACCAAAGTTATTCTCTACCTTTTCAAATGCATTTACCAGCCAAAGATTAAGTTCATATTTGCTCTGTAATACCTGTTGTAATTTTATGAATAATATTATAGGGGGTATAGCAGCTGTCATCACAGATACAATGCAGCAAAACATTCAGCTGGCTTATGGATTTCTGCAAAGAAACCAGATTTCTGGTATTTTGTCAAAAAGACTTTCTTTTAAGTCACTGTTAATAGGTAAAACAGGTTAGATAATTTGGTGTAAAATTCTGGTATCACACACATGTCATGCATTTCGATGGATAACACAGAACTAAGAAAGCAAACCTGAGGAAAAAGTAAACAATCAAGTGATTTACTTTAATAGATAGTTAGCTTGGTCTGTGAAGGCCATATCAGAGCATTTCATATTAATTTTTAATGCCATTTGCAGTGGCACAAAATAAGTTATGATATCAAAATGAAGATGGAACTGAGAACCATTATGTTGAATCATTTTTGACTGGAGACATGCTGAAATTTGAAGACATTTCTTTGAAAGATACCCATCTTGAAGGAAATCCACAGGGAATAAACCGTGAAAAAACTTCTAAAGCCTTTTGCCTGAAGTATTTCCCAACAAAGACATAAATCACAGGGTTAATGCAGCTGTTGGTGGTAGCCAGAACATAAGAAAACTGCTGCCCAAAGTTGATTAGTTCCCCCCAGAAGCAGCCTTCGATCACTTGTGTATTGTATAATAGATCAAGGAATACAAAAAAATGGTAAGGAGTCCAGCAGAAAAGAAACATCAGTACCACAGTGGTGATCAGCCTCGTTGCCCTCATGCCTTTCTGCCCCATGCAACCCTTTGCTCTGAGTGCTCTTCGTTCTCTTGCTGTTTTCTTTAGGGATCTAATGGTGGAGAAATTGAGGAAGATGATTGCTGTGGATGGCAGCAGAAACCCCACCACGTTTAATACCAGGCGTTCAGCTGTTACCCACGACGAGCTGGGGAACTCCAAATAGCACGCTGAGATATTCCACGAGGAAAACTCTTTCACAGTCCGGTACATGAAATTTGGGACACTGAGAAGAATGCAAAAGAACCAGATGAGCAAGCAGATGCCTTTGGTCATAGTTTTGCTCCATAGTTCTCTGTGGTTCAAGGTATGGACAAAAGTCAGGTAGCGATCCACGCTGACGGCCACGAGCAGGTAGATGCTGGTGTACATGTTCAAGACGATGGAGGTGCTGACGCTGCGGCACAGGAAGATGCCAAACGGCCAGTTAAACCTGTTATTGGTGTTCACTGCCCAGAATGGGAGGCACGCGAGGAAGATAAGATCAGCAATAGCCAGATTCATAAGATAGATTTCAGCTGTCTTCAGGGAGCCCTTGTGCAGTGAATAAATGAGGAGAACAAACACATTTCCAAGCATACCAATAACACAGACAGCATTGAGGTACTTGGGTACTATATAGAACACAATGTCCCACCAGTCATCCAAGTCTGGGCAATCAGTTGAGTTGCTCTGGTTTTCACTCTGGTTTGAGGACAGAACATTTGGTAGAGGAGTTTCAGTCATCTTTTAAAAAATTCCAAAGTGAGCAGGAGATGTCTTTGAAATGAGAGAAAATGACTGCAAAGAAGAAGCATAAAAATGTAAAAGTTGCCTCCCATGAGTGGTGTAAAAAACATTTAACTGCTGCCAATTCTTTATTAGTTCTTACTGATTATTACAGACTAGATCAATCCATACTTGATAAGTGCACTGGTGGAAAATGTTCCCAGTATTAGCAAGGATAGAATTTCCTCTACATCCTATGAAATTTCCTCTCCTTGCTTCTATTGTTTAAAGTGGCACAGAGGAAGGAAAGTGACAAATTAGTAGTTCTGTACATCTTCTCCAGACTGCTGACAGACACATATGTTAGGAGAATTCCATCTCCCTGAGAGTAGTAGGAGTCATGCTGGTGACACAAAGCCAGCTTTGCATCCTTCCCTGTGCTTTCTCTTACTCTTGTTTATCATGCTGTGTACATTATTATATTACTGTATTATATACTATGTTATATACATATTAGTATATCATTATGTCCTGCTGAAGCAGGATCCTGCCTGTTTCCCTGAGCTGGGAAAGCTGCTCAATCTCCGTATGCGCCACTTGCTGCCTGAACTTTGCATTCTTTGTTCCTTCTCAGTTCCTCCTACCCTGAACTTTGGGTTCAAAATTGCTGTTAGATTAGATAGCTTATTGCCTCCAAATGTCAGCAGTTGGAATAATAAAACAGACTCCTCCAAAATACTATGCTAAAAAACTTGCCCTGAAGGAAGGCCTCTGCAGCTCCAAATTTACAGCACTCCTCCAGCTGAAAAATTTCATTTGAGTTCAGCTGGAGAGAGGCTGTCTCAGGCTCCAAAGTGTTTAGTCCATCATAGCATTGGCAATACCTTTATTTATTTCTGGTAACTCAGATCGAGATTGTGCAGGAGTAAGAACATGGGTAAAACCTTATCCTCCCATGAAAATCCACTGGACTTTCTGTCAGAGGTCCACTGTCAGAGCTGCCTCCTGCTTCATTCTTCTGGTGCTGCCATGCTTGATGATAGTGCCTGGATCCTGGTTTTTGCAGACTTTCAGTCTCAGAGCATTATGGTAGGAAAGTTATTATTGAGCCAGTTCTGCCATCTGACATTTCAATATTTCATATGCAAGTGGGGCATGTCAGTCACAAAATATGTATTTGAAAAAATCGATATTTTGCAATCAGTCATTGTAAATGCTGACTTTCTGCTGCAGCTATTTAACTCTGCCTTTTTATCGTCTTTATTTTACACCTAGGAGACAGCTAATGATGGAATTTCTGAAGACAGAATTCAGGACCACCATTCATCTCTTTTACATATATGAACAGCCTCAGTGACGTCTGTATATGAGCACCTTGAAGTACTTATTTTTGGGATGCCTCTAGGAATAAGTTAAGTATTAATATTCCACATCAGGCTATGTGGTACTAATGCACAGAAATTTTTTCATCACTGCAGAATTAGGTGAGCAGCAAAGTTGTATCTGAGTTCATAAACTCACTCAAGCTGGCAGCCTTGATGGGGAACAGAGGTATAATTCAAGTTAGCACAGCTTCCTGGATTTCCCTCCCAACAATCTGAATGTTACCTAGTTAACAGACCTCTCATGCAAACTAAGATAACTTGAGAGGATCTTAAACTACAGACAAAATACATATAGCAAATAAATGACTGGTTAGCATCAAAGAGGTTCTTTGTGAGAGAGCAGAAATCTAATGCTGTTATAGCAGAAGACTGGCTAAGACATGAGAGAGCAGTGACAGAAAATCTATATAGTTCAAAAGTAATGTAGAAGAAAGATAACATTTAAAACTAAACAGAATTATTTATTTTACTAAATATAGAATAAAAAGAAATTATTATTGTCCTTGCTTGCCCTTTTCCTGATGACTTCTTGCTATCAGCTTATGCCAGTCACTCTGCACTCTTCAGACATGATCTCTCAGCTGGAGCCACAAATTCCTTCATGCTCAGCTAAAAACACCAGGAAGTTTTATTTTTCGTTGCAGCTTAGATTTTATTCACAGCTAAATCCATATTCTTGTTCAGCTAGCAATGGTACCTCAGAATTCTGTAGAGTTTTTCATTGCAAAACTTTCTTCAGAGTCTACTAATCATTGTTGGAGCACTACCACAAGCCACAAGCCTTTTAGAGTTCCAAATGTTCTCTTGACAGAAAATGCACTTTATTTTCCGTAATTTCTGTAAGTTTTTTGAAGTATTTAGTGCTAATGGACAATTAACTGCATGAATGGTTTTCAATTTCTGTCAGTAACACATTCCAGTCATCTTTTATAAAAATAATGACGTATTTTTCTTACTTTGAACTGATTTCTGAAGAATTTCCATGCACAGTGCATCTATCACCTTTTTTACTATTAATACTCATTAGTCAGAGCAATTAGGTAAAATGGATCATGGGTTTACATATAAACTAATACTGAGCTTCAGAATTCCTTTTGTGGTGAAAAAGAAAGGGAAATTCTTATTAGACTGCACAGATCAGAGCTGAGAGCACAAAATATTATTGTTTATATAAAAATTATTATATATAAATAATAATATATAAAAATAATAATAATATATAAAAAGATTATTTTTATATAAAATATAGAAATGATTTTTAGAAAGATAATACATTTAAAAAGATAGGCATACCTACACCTTGTCCTTCCTGTCAATCCAGGCAAAGTTTCAAATTTGGAAACAGTTGATAAACAGCAGTACAGAGGTTACTGAGAGAATTCAAAGATGCATCCTGAGGCACAACTGGGTGACTGAGGGCTGTCCTGAGTGTTTTGCTGGCCACACACCATGTGTATGATGTTACATTTTGGAAGAAAGCCCCAGGATTTTTTTTTTTTTAACTTTCGCAAATGTCAGCTTTAGTAATTTTCAAGACATGTGAAATATTTCATTCTCATTGTGAAATAATACAAGCCATTTGTCGTGACTCTTGTCATCCTTTGACCGCTAATTAAAGCTCTCAAATTGTCCTTGGCAATTAAAAGTTCCATTGTGTGAATGTCTTTAAAAATAATAATAATGTCATTAACAGCCTTCTCTGTGCCAATGCACACAGGGAGAAACTTAGAATTCAGTTTTTGTGATGGGAGCTTCTTTCCCCGCTGGACATGAGGGGAAGCCATGCCAAGGAGCTGGGGTAAAGCAGTACAGGTGGGGATGGCTGCTGAAACACAAACCTTGCTCAACCCCGTTTACACTCCTTTTGAAAAGCACTGTTTTTTGCACCCCACGATAGGTGTCCAGGGCATGAATCTCAGTGAATATTACTTCTCAGTAATATTCATGATGACTGCTGAACTTTCTCAGGCTTGCAACAAAATAAGATTCTTATTTTTTTGATTACTTTCTGGGACCAAGTATCCTGAGAGTGGTTGTTTAAAAATAATTTTTATCTTTTTTATTCTGATTGTCCACTCATTAGAATAATATTCTAAAAAGATAATATCTTGCCTCTCAGACTTTGCATGCAAATCTGTCTTAAATATAGCCACATAAACAATGTGTGTTTTCAATTAAAAAAAAAAAAAAAAAAAGAAAAATTGTCACGGGACAGGAATGTTATCTACTTATAGGAAAGCATTCCTCTCATTGGCTACTTAAACAAGATATGCACCATCTATCTCAATTCTTATTCAATTGTGTCCATTTTTATTTGATAATTAAGTTAAAATTAAAAGGCAGGGGAGGCTGAATGGCTTTATTATGAAACTTCCCTATAATGAAAAATACTTTTATTCAAAATTTTTATTCATTAGAGGATAATAAGTTAGTTATGCAAACAGTGCTAAAATTTATATACAAAAACATTCCAGTTAACACCATCACAATGGAGAAAACTCTAAATGGCTCAAGATTAAATGTTCGGGTTTTTTTTTTAATATCTTGTAAAATTTTAATTTTGCAAAGACTTGAAACACAACATGTAATTTGTGAATTACACATTATGTAAGGAATCCTAACAAATTGCAGGAGGAAAATCTTGAAACAGCCCATCTCACACTGACTCATAAAGGTAAGTGCAATGTGACAGGAGATCTTCGTCACAGACTTTCCAAAGCCTCCTCTTTGCTTACACTACCGCATTTCCGTGTTTAAGTTATTTTTTCCATAGTAAAGAACATTTGAGCAACAACAAGAAGTTTGGAATTTGTCCTTGCTTGGACATGAATCTGTAGGATCTGCCAAGTTCCACATTTACTCACAGACTGAATAAAAAACTGCAGCTGCATCTAAAATTTATATGATAAATAACAAATCTTACAAAACTCGTCACATCAAAATGGGATCAAAATACTGGTTTTGCAAATTCAAGTCCTCTTTGCAAATCTAGTTTCTTTTTTTCTGTTATTTTTCATTGCTGTATTTGGAGCACATATTGGTAATGGAGAGAGATTTGAAACTGGAAGTCTATGCATTCGGTAGAAAATGTGAATAGGCACTGCAGTAGCTCCAGCATTTAAAGACCTTAGAACAAGTCTATAGAAAAAGCTGTAACTTTATACAGAAAGGGGATTTAATTTATTATGTCTTTACAACTTCATTCCTCATTTCAACCTGTGGAAAGTGTATGAAGATCTGGTAGCATTTCAGAGTTTGCACAGAGGTAATGGACCATGAATTGAAAGAATGTGAAGGGTTAGTTCAAAAATATCTAGAAGAGTCAATAGTTAAGTTATTTTTTTACTGTAAAAAACATATCTATTTATGTTTTAAGCTTGAATGATCTTCAATCACACCGTCTAGGCAGACTTTCCTGCAGAAAGTAAACATTTTCTAGAGCTGTAGAAGAATTTGCAAATGCTAACTGAATCTCTCTGATCAGAATGATTAAACAAACATGTTGATGAACTTAGAGGCAAGACTGCTTAATTATCACACACATTACAAGGTAGACACATATCAAAATTCCCAAAGATCTCCAGAGTTCTGGCTCTTGGTCCAGCACTCCAGCCATTAAAAATCTTCCTTTTAAGATGGCTAGAGTCTTTAATGATTGGGACAAAATTTTTGGATCAGTATGTTTTAACGATTGTATTTTCATTACTGAAATGTTTGGCAAATCAGCTTAATTATCTTCTGTAACTGTTCATCTGAGATAGCAGAAAGGTTTTTGAGATTATCTTTTGATGTAAAACTCTTTGTTCAGCTTAGTTGTATTTCTTCACATATAGTATAGAGATTGCTAAGGAGAGCTTAAATTCTGATGCAGTTATTTACAATTCCCAAAGAATGATCCTGTACCATCACAGTTTATTACCACAGTGTGGTAATAATCAAGCCCTACTAACTACAGTTTAGAGCTTGAAACAGCAAAAGGCGAAGGAGCAAATATAGGCTGAAAAACCAGCAATGTGCTGATGGAAGAATGGAATGGAAAGGTGATTCAATGGCTAAAGACAGCTTAGGGATTTGTGAGATCTGAAGCAAGATCCTAACTCCTCCACTGAAACCCTGTCTAAAGACTTTCTTCTGTCTGCAGCGAGCACCAGTGGCTTGTGTAACAGCTTTTAAACTCTTAACCTTTCAAAGGAAGCCAATAAGCCACTTGAAAAATGAGAGAGTAGACAAATCAGAATTATTCTTGCCTGTGAATGCTGAAGGCCAGAAATATAATCTGGCTTCTGTCATCCTTGCCCTTCCTCTGGCCGTGGTCCCCACCTCTGTCAGGCTGAATGGGGAGCCAGCTCTTTGCACGGCCAAAGTCTTGATAACAGTTGTGGCAGTCTCAGTAAAAGAGAAGCTAGGAGCAGAGGTAAGAGGGGGGAAGGATAAAGAAGAATGAAAATATATGATTACTGTCTGGCATCTTCAGCTCTGAAATTCTCAGGACAAAGTCTAACTTCATTTTACCAGAAGTCTTCATATTTTTTCATGTTTCTGTAAGAACACAGCTGAGCCAAGTGTGACTGGAAACTGTCAGTAGGTCAAATGTAGCTTGGACATTACACTTTATTTCTTGGGGTTTTTTGTTGCATGTATAAATGGTGCATGTGAATACCACAAATGTGTCATCACACTGAAGAGTCAGTAAAATGTGAATTAAATAGTCTGTGAGCTGACACTATCTGTTCTGTGATGTGCAGAAGCTGCTACAGGGACTTTCCATTGTTGCTGGTGTCTTCATAGGACCTTGAGTTATCAGCAGGCAGAGAAAAGCTCCCAAAAATGTTTCAGTACTCTTAGCTGCCTTAATTCTGATTTAAACTTCCAAAGGGACAGAGGGCAGTCAAGAGCACTCAGAAATGGGCCCTGAAAAGAAAGATCTCAAAGTAGCTAAAATTCTGTTTTTTCAGCTCACTTTCCTTTGGTGTAATGGGAAGTGAAGTAAGCATCTGGAACAGTTGAACTTCTGACAAATCATTCCTTAGTAATAGGATACAGGCTAGAGAAGAAAATTCCAGGAAGTCTCATTTCTCAAAAGTACTTTATTTTCTTTTGTACATGCTTACTGCATAAGAAAAAGCCAACAAAACAAAACCAAAAAGTGCCTATGTATTTACATTATTTAAATTAATGTGATGTTACCATAATAACATTTTTATATTTTACATCTCAGTACCAAATACTCACAAACACCTTCTTTTGCCTCAGTAACCTCTGTACGGAGTTCCTTTTGTGTAAGGGTTGCATGGACAGCACGCTCATGGATGAGACAGTATGATAACACTGGATATAACAGAAAGCCTTTCAGTGTTTCATCATAGTTGTCCTCATTGCTTCAGACAATAAAAAGGGTGAGCAAATAGAAGTATTTATGACAGGATTGTCAAAGAAAAACCATGGAAATTGCACATAAATCATATACAGTGATCTAACTCCCATAGTCTTTAAATCACATCTGCACACTTCTACTTTGTGGTTTAGTTATTTGAAGGTTTAATACAAATTTCTCATTTTAAATGAACTTTATTTCTCCATTCAAACTCTGATGGATAAAGACCATGTAGTTGCCATCTGAGTTTACTCATGTCACCAAACTCCATTTCCCTTGGTAGCTTTAAAAGCTGTAACCTAAAGTGCTTTGAAAAGAACAAAGACTGTTAATTTCAGCATATTTAATTCATCTTCCACTCAGTTTTGATCAAGGTTCCTAGAGGTTAAAGTGCATACTGACAATTCAGTACACTATGAGGGTTTTATGTTTATCATCAAATTATCTCAAAAATACCGTCCAATTGGGGAAAAGCAATCTCATGTTAAAATCTCACAGATTAACTCTACAAGTAAAATGTAGGTATTACTAGAATCTGAAAAGGCCATTCTTGAATACTCTGAGCTTTCAAGACCCCTGTTATCTTCAGTTAGATTTCTAATGTAGTTAGGTAATGCTCTCCTTCATATTCTCAGTTTCTTCTGTTTGTGAGATTATACCAGTTGTGCTGAGCTTTTGTATATCCATTGAATAAGATTAATTATGCTTTGTGAGTACTAAAAACCTGAGTCTTTGAGCTGAAGCGTAAGCATGAATATAAATAGCATTCACTCACTCAAAAAGTGTAAGTGAATGCTTTCACTCCAAGGCAGAAGGGGTAAAGAATCTTCTTCTACGAAGAAATCCCAGCTAACTTCATGCAGATGGGTGTGGGTCCCCTTCCACTACTGCTTTACCATTTTTTCAGCTACTTTTCATACGTACTTTCTTGTGTAAATCTGTAACTAGCCAGAGCAGTTGCAAAAAGGCACTGCTTGTCAATGAAGAAATCAGATGGTTTTGGATCACTGAAAAGAGAAATTAAAAGCCAAAAGGATGGACACATCTAAAAACGCATCCTACCGGATTCACTTAAGAGAACTTACTCAAATACAAACCCCTCCCAGACCAAACATCTTATTTAACTCACTATTAGGGGAGCCATACGTAGCTGCATAATCCTGACAATAGCTTCTGTACTGGGGCTCTGTTCAGAGAATTTTATGTACACCTTAGAAAAACATTCCCAATAATGTGTGCCAAGTTTCATTCAGCCATGAAAATAAGTAAGTAAGTAAGTAAGCTACAAAATTGGATCCGATCATGAAAAACATCCACTAACATTAGAAGCAGGTCTCTATGGAATTTTCATTAAGAACAAACCATTGTTTTCCCTCACGTAATGAACACTACCATGTTTACTCTGTGGACCTGTAGCAGATGGATATGAGTGGAGACTGATATGTTAGAAGCCTTTCTTCCTTTAAGGATTTCCTAAAATTATGCTATTGGGGTAATGGCAAAACAGACTTTTTCCTTGGGTATTCACTTGAAATGGAAGTTCTTAAAGTGTCCAGGGAGTTTTCCATTTGCACAGACTGCAATTTTCTGCACCTCCTTGTGAACAAGCCCCTGTAGAATTCCACAGCCTTCTTCTGGAAGTTTTTCCCAATAATCACATACAAGACTGGATTCAGGCAGCTGTTGCTAAAGGAACAGTATGTGGCTATCTGGGTCAGTATGTCGTTGATCTCTGCCAGGCATTTGAGAGTGGGTGAGAAGTAACGGATTGTGTCCATGAATGTGGTGATCTGGAACGGGAGCCAGCAAATGATGAACACCAGGAGAACAGCAAGGATCAGCATGGTGGCTCTCCTCTCTGTCTGGACTACTTTCATTTTTCGTAGCTCACTGCTTCGTAGGGCTTTGATGATTTGCACAGTGCAATAGGTAATTACACAGAGTGGGATCACAAACCCCACAATATTCAGCAAGCAGTTGTTGGTGGGCTCCCAGTAACTGGCTGGGTAAAGAAGAGCACAGGCTGTGATGTTGAGCTCTTCAAAGTAATGCAAATTTCGAAACACCATTGTAGGTGAACACATGAACAGTGCACATGTCCAAATTATAAAACAATTCCATTTGGCACAGACGGTTCGTCTCATCCGCCCAAGAGACATGGTTTTCACCAAGGCCAGGTAGCGGTCAATGCTCACTAGTGTCAGGAAATAAATGCTAGAATATAAGTTCATGTGACTCATTATGTTGATGACTTTACAGAGAAACAGGCCAAAAGGCCACTGAAAATGGTTAGAAATATTAATGGCCCAGAAAGGTAAAATACAGACCAACAATAGGTCAGCAAATGCCATGTTTGCTAGGTAAATTTCTGCCACTGTGCAGCTACTCTTGTGGAAACACAGAACAGTGAGTACAAAGAAATTTTCTATTGATCCCAAAATAAATATAAACCAGAGAAATCCAGGCTGAAAATCCAGTAGCCATTTCCATACATCTGCATTAAGACATTCATACTGATCTGTCTGATTCACTCCTGAATTATTGTGGAAATATTCTGTACTGACTGTGAGCTCCTGAGTGGTCATGCTGTACAGCTGAGTAACATTTTCTGTTGTGATGGAAACCATTTCTGTGAAGAGAAAAAACAGGTGACATAAGATCGCTACATCTAGCTCATTGCTGCAAAAGACAAATTATGAAGAGTTGTCTTTTGCTTTTCCTAGTGTCCTAGAAGTGTAGCTTTTGAACAGACCTACAGTTCCCTGGGTTCTTCTCACAGACACTGGGTGTGTCTGTGGAATGTTTTACAGACTGCATTGCTATGGACTGCCTGGACCCACTTTGGGCAAGTAAAACAGGGGGAATGTAGCAACAACAGATATTGTTATGAATGGATTAACTGAAGAGAACATTTAGAAGACTTTATTCACTAGAACTGTGCTGCAGCAAGCCTTTGTTAATTCGTTGAGGATGTTCATCATTAGTTTGTCTTCTTATCTCTTTATTTCATTAGCCATGGTCTCCTAAAGTACCTGGTGTCTCAAGTCGCTCATGGTAAAAATGCTAGTTCTGTGTCACATCCTGCAACATCTTACACCCTCCCCTGCAGAGCAAGGATTGAGTGGAATTCAGTGGTGCTTCCTCCCCAAAGAACACCATATATTTTCCCAAATATTTTGACTGTGCAATAAACAGACATTTAGTTTGCAGCTCTAGTTTGCATTGAGAACGATGAGGTGTCTGCCAGCAGTGTGCCTTTCTCAGCTTCCCATTGGAATTGTCTGTGTATTTCTGTCTCTGTGTTACAGTCTCCTTCCGCAGCCAAGTCACAGAAGAGATAAATGGTACAACCTTCATGAGGGAGCTCAGTTTTAAGAGGTGTGCAGTGGATGGGTTGGCAATTTGGTAGAGCCAGTGGCCATCCTGTTAGCCAGGATCTGTTTGCAGTCAGCCAGCTTGGGTGCAAGAGCACAGTCTGAAAACAAGAATACAGTAAACATTCTACATACCAGAATAGCCTGAGATCATACAGGGAGCTATTTATGGGCAGAAACATCAGATGTGTACTTAAATGTTACTAGAACTGAACAGAAGTTGAGTGTTCAGCATCATTCACTACTGATAAAATGTTAACTGTGTTTTCTTGTTGCTGTGTTCTTGAATAATGAATGCTGAGATATTATTCAAATGCAAGATTGGCTTCCCAGATCTGTACATATAATTCTCTGGACTGAGTGATGGAAATTCTGTTCTTTTTTCCTTCAGGTCTTTATAATAACCACTGTTTATATTATCATTTGATTGGAAGCTTTTCAAGCGTATTTTTAATTAAGACATTTGTCCTATTCAATTCGTAACTTGGCAGTGAAAAGGGAACACTTGCAATTCCTCAAAGGATGAGGGTTCTCAACTTGTTTTCTTGTTGCTGGAATTGTTGACTGGTAAGTATCAGTGCTTAATATGGATACAGAAATTTGGCTATTGGTTGCAGAATTGATGAAAAATGATAAAACACAAACGTAGCACTTAAATATCTCAAAGCCTAGCTTGTGTGGATGTGAGAGCTGCAACTAACGAACTGCAAACAGCAGTTTCAAGTCTCCCTTTCTTTCTATGCTGGCACTTTTCATTGTAAAAAAAATAGGAAGTGAAATACTAATGGATGGCCAACAAGAGGTCATCTGAGAATAAAGATGTTCTCTTGCCTGATGCAATTATCAGAAACTGTTTCTTCTGTTGGTCATAGGCTGTGAACCAGCAGAAAAAAAATAAATTGTAAGTGCATTATTTTACACTTTGAGGTTGGATGTATGCACATATTTAACAAGATGAGCATTAGTAATTCAGAGAGTGGTCATAAAGGCCATGTTGGCTTTTTCTGTGATTTTCCCTCATTCCATTAATTTACAGAATTTAATTTACAGCAAATAGCAGCTCCAAAACTGCATATTGATTTATCTGTATTTTCTCTGCAATTAATCTCTTTCAGATTTTGGTTTTAGATGGGAAAGACTTAGAATTCTTTAAAATAAGTTAGTTATATTATATTACTTTGGTCTAGGAACAGTGTGAAGAGACTAGCTAGGATGTCACCAAGTCCATGACATGGGGCTTCTGGCCATGTCATGCCCAACCTGCCTCCTTGGTCAAGTCTCAATTCCTTCCATAATGCATTACTAGAAATGGGGGAGTGAACAAGGTAAAATGCTAATTATCAATTTACAATGTTTCGGGTTAAAATTATGTGCTCAATGCTATTTTATATCACACAGGAGACTCATTTAAAGTATGTGATTGCTGAATAAATTATGATTGACAAAGCCACAGCTTAGAGAAGGCAGTGATTTGCTATTTTCTTGTCATATTTTGGTGGAAATAAATGTGATCCTTTCACACATTCTCTACAAGTACTTTCTGTGCAATGCAAGACAAGCTAATATCTCAGCGGGGATTTTCAATAAGATTTTATGTGGCAGTCTTGATTGAAATACTGCCCTGCTGAAGTAATCTATCATTACTGATTCTGAGGGACCCCTGTGGCGGCTGAATTTGAACCTGATGGAGTTCACATCCTTTTGTGAGTTATCTGCTCCTTGACAATCTATCAAACCCACTGTCAGTCATTATCTTGTGTTGTTCTGGAGTATTTTTTTAATAGCATTGGGAACAAATGGCACAGTTTTGATGGAGGGTGTTTCAGGGAGGTGAAACTGGGCACTCACAGGTGTCCTGTGTGGGAGGCAGTCATGGCCTGGACAGAGCTGGTGGCAAGCAGCCCTGTGTCTCCTGCAGACACTGCCCTTGCCAAGGCAGGAGGGCTCTGGGGCCGGCTCATGGGGGACACTCTGCGTGTTGGCACGATGCTGCCAATGCTGCAAATGAGGAACCCTTGCAGAGGGACTGGGAGGAAGGGGTTAATCAGCTGTTGGATTGTCATTACAGGCAGGTGGAGAAGGACCCCAAAAAGGTGGTGGTGACCAGTGCCATAGCCTGAAACTCTGAGGGCTGGGCAATCACCTGGGCACCTTGGTGTCATCTCCTGCCAAACTCACGGGATGTCCTGCTGGTCAAGGACTGACCCACACACATGGGTCTGGAGGGAGCATGCCAGAAGACAGGCATGAGTTAATCAGCAAGCCAAGGAGAACAGCTAGAGTCCAGCAGAGTGGTTAATCCTAGAATGTGGAGGGAAAAATCTCCATGTGACAGCAATACATGCCGGGGCCTACAGAAGTTCTTGAAAGAAAAGGAGGGGAATATGTTGAATTGGAACAAAAAGTGCTCTAAGGATGAAGAGATATGAGCTAAGGAAGGGAAGGAGAGGGGAAATGTTAATGCTGCTACTGGGTTAATGCAAGCTCCAGCACTGCTTTACTCCCCAGATGGAATGCTGCTTCAGGTGAATGTTTTTCACCATCTCTTTTGGGTCTGGGTGAAGCCCTACAGCTGCTGAACTCATGACTATATTAGTATTGCTGCTGGTGTTAATCTGTCCTTGTACTATGCTAAACATTTTCATACAGTGAATTACTAAATGCCTCATGATGGTCTCAGTCATGTCTTATACACGGACAAGTTCTGAAATGTGCAATAAGAGTTCAGGTTATTTCAATGTTACCTGCAGCAATCTACTCTGTGACAGTAAGAGAGAGACATTGTAATGTATATTTTACAGCTTTTGTGACTTTACTGATTACATGTTTTGTAGAAACAAGGTGTGAAATTTGTAATTAGTATATACTGAGATTGTTGTAATATTAACCTTGCTAATTTAGTCCTCAGAGACAAGAGGTGGAGCCTAAAGCAGATAAATGCTGTTATGATGTTAACTGTTGATTGCTGGAGCAAAAGAGAGAATATTAAAAAGCATAGGAACACAGTCCTGATATTTTCCTACACAGTCTAATTTGCAAGGACAGAGTGGGCTCAAGGCCCCAGTAGTCTTCTCCAAATGAGGAATTCCTTTGATGGATGATCATCCATGATGAAAGTTGCTTAGAAAGCCACCTTATTTTCCATTAATTTCAGAGTTGTCTTAGCAGGGTGTGTGGAGTATAGGTACGACCCAGACTGTAGCATCCTTAGCAGAATTTTACAATTACCTGGTTTGCATTAATTGCTGTCAGTGGCCAAAAATGTTTTTGGACACATACAGCTGGCTTGCCATACACACATACAGCTCCACGTACAGCTGGGGCTCAGTGGCACAGAGGAGAGGAAAAGATGGGAGCAAAATTATGGGTTTGAGTGAGTGGCTGCAAACTGAGAGGCACTGGCTGGCTTCTGACATGGTGATATTTTAGAAGACGTGTTAGCTGCAGAAAGAAATATCAAGGGCTGCCCCAGCCTCTGCTCTGACTCTCTGTTTCTATGCAGAGCCCAGCCTGCTTTGATGCTTTGTATTTTTCAAGTTTGTCCTCCTGAATATCTCTGAGCCCAGCTTGGGCAGCCAAGTGTCCCCTGATGGTGCCTATTTGCCAGGCAGCCTTGCTTCTTCATGCTAATATAAATCTACATCAAATGTAACACAGGAGCTGCCAGAGCCATGAGAGGAAAAAGGATGTTAGCCTGACAGATCTGCTGTGACTGAAATGGGAGATAGCTGGAGTTCAAAAGCTGCTGAAGGTAAGGGAGATCTTCTGAAGTGTGGTCTGTGCAAGGATGCCTGGAAGTCCTGCTGACTCCATACAGGTACCCCTGCTGCCCTCAGGAGCTGGGACTGTAAACCTGAGAGGCCCAGCAAGTTGTTAGGAGGCTGTAGTGGTGTCCCCTAAACTGCCTCATTTGTGACCATCAGACAGGTATTTGCTGGCCAAGGAGAGAGAAGTTTATTTTAACAGCTTTGGAGGATTTGGTTCCAGGACAATGTCAATTTTTGAGGAAAAGGTGTATTTTTTAGTTTAGTATTTTTGTTTAATAATAGATTATAACAAAAAAATTTAAATGCATATATTCTCCTTCAGCCACACTGACAGGTCTAGCAGGCCTGATGCACATGTGGGATGGCATAAGCAGGGGCATTGCTCAGCAAGAAGTCAAAGGTGTCCTGGAAGATTGAGTTTCAGTGGCAGATCCTTGCATTCAGAATTTAATGTCAACAAAAATACAGGTAACCCATCCTGTTTATAA